CTTCTTATTTTCTTGAGTTGCTTTTGGTTTACATAACAATCTTGACATAAGTTTTTAGATGGGAAAACTGAAGCCCTATCCTTTGCAAGTCATTTGCCACTTATTAATTTCTTCGTGTGGAATTTCATTTCTTATTGGATTGGATTTTCTCATGCGTTTGAGATTTGTCTAGAGATTATTAGCATATATTGCTCCAAATTTTTGTTTATTTGGGATATTGATGCCAAAAAGTTCCATCTTGTCTCTGGGACAAAACTTGTAAGCTTAAAATTCAAGAGGACTTGAGATTTCCTTCCACCACGATTTTTTTTGCTTATAGATGCTCTCTTATTTGGAGAATTCTCAATTCATATATCCTGCTTTCTACATTGTGGAAACATAAATATTGCTTCTTATGGAGATTTTGGGATCCCTTGTTTAATGGTGGTATTTTGATTTATCCTCCCATTTGATATCTGCGATGTGGCGGTATTTTGATAACATTTAAATAAAACGCGGGCCGTGGATTCAACCGCATGACCCGCTTTTCATATTAATTTCTCGTTCGACTTTTACTGCCCTTTCACGACCGAGCTTCTCTCTCGCGACCCGCTCTCCCCTCTCCTCTCCTTTCACGACCTAGCTTCTCTCTCGCGACCCGCTCTCCCTTCTCACGACTCGGTAATTTTGCTAAATTTTATTGGAATATGTATTCTCTCAGAATTTTATGGTTAACCCTTCGTTTCCACTATGTGACGATTAGAGGTCGTAGTTTTATGAATTATTTTAACATCTTAGTTAGTCGTACTAGGAGTAAATGAAGTTCATTAGTTAATCAACAATATGGGCATCAAAACACAATTAAACACCATGGGAAAAATATCTTAGAAAATCACAATGAAAACGACTACCCTATATCATAGAAAAACGAAAAAGAATTTAGTCACACATTATTCGAGAAACTTACAACTAAAGTTTGTTCTCTTTACAAGATGAGCACCTCTCCCTCCAATACAACAACTCTCTCAAGAACTCACCAGAAATCAAAGTGAAAAATCACCCCTTAAGATTTCAATCCAAAGAAAAGAGAAAAATCTAACGTGAGAGCATGTCTAATCAAATTCTCTGCTTTCTTCCAGCCTTCAGCCACCCAACATACCCAAAAACCAGCCTCAAGAGTAATTGCGTAGGAAAGACTTGGCAAAGACAAGAAAATTCAACAGACTGAGCTTGGGTGCGCCTCAAAACCAACGCGGGTGTGTTGTGAAGTTGTCGCAGGTAGGCCACGAAGCCAGTGTGGGTGCGTTTTGTGTTGAGAAAATGGATGTGTGCGGGTGCGCTGAATTGGCACAAGGAGCTTTACAGTTAGCACAGGTGTGTCATGTTAACGCGGCACACCGAGTTGCGGCGTGGGTGCACTGGCCCATCTTCTTCTCTTTCATGATGTTTTATGCTCTTTTTGCTCAATTTTCATGTCCACTGTCTCCTGCACAAATAAGACAAAAGTACCCTTCTCAACTATAATATTAGTAGAAAAGATGTAAAAATATGGAGATATGTGTCATAGAAGTATCACATATTTTTTCTTATATCATCATAGTTAATTCTAAACCTAAAGTCAGGTCATGACAGTAACATGGCCTTCAATCCATATGACAACAAAAATGGTGTTTGCTTAGTAGTGGTTTATGGTGTGGTTCTAGCGCCCATAGAACAAATAGAAGGACATCAACCCATTTCCCCTTAAATCCTCTGACCTTCTCTCCTCAATAGGTTAAGGATTATCTTATTGGTAGTTTCTACTTCATCAATAGTAATGGGGTGGTGCACACAAGTAAAATTCAAATTGATCCCCTGGTTTGGAAAAATTCTTTCACCCCCTTAAATATGAATTGGAACTCATTGTCTGTGATAAGGAGGAGTGGTAGTCCATACCGATAGATAAAATCTGAGCAACCTCCACTATTAAGTGAGCAATTGGCTTTGCCTTTATCCACTTTAAGAAGTCATTTGCCACAACCAGGAGGAACTTACATTTTCCCTTTGATAGTGGAAATGGTCCAAGAATATTGAGCCTCAAAATGGCAAAGGGCTAGGTGTTGATATTCGGTTCTAACCTATGGGTTGGCTAGTGTTGTAGTGGTGCATATTTTTGTTATTAGTCGCACCTGCTTGAAAACTCCTTCTCATATTTTAGAAGATTAGGACAGAAGTAGCGTTATCTCTAAATCGTGTGCTCCCGTGTTATTTTCTCCAAAGTGACTGTAAGAGACCTTTTGTTTTATTCTCTCCAACACCCCTTAAGTAAAGTAAAGTGGGTGATTTTTAAAAAAGCTTCACCTTGATCAGAAGGTATTGGGCCGCCTTGTACTTGAATCTCCTTCTGATCTCCAAGAAGTGGATGTAAGGATCCATCCAACTTCTTATTTTCTTTGTCTCCACCTACAACATCTTGGGTTCTTTAATAGTCGGTCGAATTAGCCTTTGAGGTGTTCCCTCCCCCAAGCGAATGCACTTAGATAGAAGGTCGACCATGGTTGTCTTCCCTGGTGGTATGTTCAATCCTGAAACTGGTGAACTTTCGTATCTCGGTCTTGGCCTTGTTGAGATATTTCATCATCATTTCATCTTTAGCCTCAAACTCCTTGTTCACTTGGTTCACCACTAGTCGGGATTCTGACTTCACTGTAGGTGTTGGGTGCCTATTTCATAAGCAAGGAAAAGTCTGACGATCAAAACTTCGTACAATACCTGCTTATTAGAAACTTCATTTTTTATGGCCACTGAGTGGTATAAGTGCTCCCCAGTCATACTGCTTAAAGAAAATCCAATCCCTACCCCCGTTTGATTAGAGGCTTCATCGATGTGTAAGATCCATGCTAATCACTCGGCACGAGTTCTGTCATATGGTTTGTACGATGTTGAAATATCCATCAGGAAGTCTGCTACTACTTGCACTTTGATTGCTCTCCGAGTGACGTATGAGATACTAAAATTGCTTTGTTCCATTGCCCAATTGAGCAGTCAATCAGAGTACTCCAACCTAGTAAATACCAAGTTTAGTGGATGGTTAGTGACTACCTGGACGGGATGTGTCTGGAAGTATGTTTGCAGCCTACTAGCGGACATAATCAAGGAAAATGTTAGTTTCTTTATAATCGAGTACCTGAGTTCAATATCTCTGAGGACTCTTTTAGTGTAGCAAACCTGGAATTGTTTCCCCAACTCTTCTCATACCAACACAGAGCTGATGGTCAGGTACAGAGAGAGTCCTTCATTTGAATTTGGACTTTGGAGTAACGGTTGTAATGCCAAGGAATCCTTCAACTTTGCAAATGCCCACTCACAGTCGACTGCCCATTCAATGTTATTTGCATTCCCGAGTGTTCTGAAGAACGATACACATTTGTCATCCGATTTTGAGATGAATCTACGAAGACCTTATGTTCAATCGGATAATTTCTGGACTTCCTTTATGTTCTGGGGAGAGTGCATGTTCAAAAATGCATGTACTTTCTCTAAGTTGGCATTGATTCCCTCTGGGGTCAAGAGGTAGCTGAGAAATTTGCCTGTAGAGGCTCCATATTTACTTTTTAATGGTTTTAACCTCATGTTAAATTTTTGAAGGTTTTAAAAGTTTCTTTTAAGTTAGTTATAAGTTGTTCGGTCGATTGACTTCTAATCAGTACATCATCCATATATACTTTAATGTTTTTGCCCATTTGATAACAAAAAAATGCATCCATTAGGTGTTGGTATGTAGTCCCAACATTTTTAAGCACGGATTGCATTACATTGTAACAAAATAAACCCTCGCTAGTAATAAATGTTCTCTTTTCAGCATTGGTTATGTGCATCTTGACTTAGTGATATCCTGAGAAGGCATTCTTGAAACACATCACCGAGTGGCAGACCTTCGAGTCTACTAAATTGATCCTTAGCATTGGGTATATATCTTTTGAACAAGAAGCATTTATGTTGGTAAAGTTGACACACATCCTTCATTTCTTATTCGCCTTCTAGACTTATTCACCTTCTAGACCATGACCGCATTTGAGACACAGGTTAAATATTGGACCACCCGATGTAATTGGCTTCCTTTAGCTTTAGCACTTCTTCTCGGATTAGTCCGACCAGTGTCATTGCAAAGGATCTAATCTTCTACTTCATTGGTCGGGTAGCTGGATTAACGTTCAGTCAGTGGTGGGCGACGTCAAGATGTATCACCGACATTTTTTGCCGCTAACTAGGCAAATACATCTCTATGCTCTTGGAGAGTCAGGATCAACAACTCCTTGCACATTGCATCAAAAGCTTTGCTTTTTAGAAAATATTTATTGGGTTATCCTTTAGCAACAGGTATTAAAGGATGGTTTTGAGCCCTCCTTCCCTTTGATGTTGGGGGTCAAGCGGTTCCTACTTCACGCTATCAACTGCCCGAATGCAACAGTGCCAGGATTGCTCGAGTTTCTCCCGAACGATAATGATTTCACTGCTAGCTAGAAATTTCACCGCTAACCGGAATTTCACCGCTACGTTCTCTTTTATATAATAAATTTGAATTTTTTATGCCCTTCCCTTATGGCTAGAAGATTTCACCAATGTTAGTATTAAGCATGTGATTCTCATCTATTTATTTATGTAAATATTAACAACATTGTATGAAACTAATAAATTGGATTTCAATCATCTTAAGAAAATAATTAGAAATTGATTATTTTATATTTGATGTTAACTTATTTTGAGTGACATTATCAATTATTGACTTTAAGTTGATGCCCTTGAATTTGGCTAGATATGTTCTTTACTTATTCGAATTGATTTGTTCATTATCAATTCATATATAAATGAGCTCGAATTTATCAATGTGCTAAATAAAGCAAATCAATGGTTATCAAATGCACCAAGAATTATTTATTTCATGTTTAATAACACAAGAAACACATAGTTGTAAGTTTTAATACATTTGTTTATCTTTATAATACTTAAAATGTGAAATATTTATTGATCATAATATATCTTTCCCAAAATATAAATAAAAAATACATGATTGTTGCTAACATTTTCTACTAGCTCTTCTCAAACTAGTTCCAAAAAGTCACTCTGACTACATTCATTACCTCATAATAGTAACACTCCATTCTTTAATGTAGTCTCTAAATCAGCTATAAACAAAACTAGCATCGAAACACGCCTTCTCCATCTTGCAATGGCAACTTTCAAGTCATGACATCGTCTCTCCGATTTGTCCTTTTTTTGGGGAACAAAGTCAAAGTTCTTATAACTCTACAATAGGCAACCCTTTTTATCTCTTGCAAACTGCTAATATGCACCAACCATGAGTTCCTCGAAACACCACTCCCTTTATTTTTTTTCAAAATAACTACCATCTGACTTTCCTATCTTGATATCAAGATCAATCTCAATGACTCCCCTACAAACACTTGAATCTCTTAAACCATAAGAATCTCTCTAATTTGATATTTTTTGGGAGAAATATCAGCACTTTCCCTAACTCCAACTTAGGGCTTTCCCCTTAACCCTCTTCCTTGCAATTTGCTCATGTACAAACTAACTCTGAACTCATATTTCCCTCTATTTCTCACATCTTTTGGTCACTTCCCTCCTTAACCTTGACATTGAAATATACTCTAATCCTCTAACATCACTAAGCACATCTAGCCACGAAAGCACAAAATTCTTCCTGCTAAATATTTAGCTTCTATAAGTTAATGTTAAGCTTGTATAACTTGCACAAAAGCCACTCGCCTAATTCTCTTGTACGGTGCTACTTGCTTTCTTATGAACTCAATAACCATCGATTCTGATAGCTCGCACCCTTTCCTCCTTACTACATAGCCCATCGGATACCGCCCAACCTCTTTGTCCGGAAACCTGCACTAACCAGCTTGTTTAAAAATTTTTCATCAAAGCAAACTCCTTAAAAAATGGCACAAAATATTTTTCATTGGAACAAATTGATTTTTCTTTTGTTTATAATTTTATTTTTTTTATAGATTTTAAATATATATTTATTTATTGTGTTTTTACATGTTTTTTTATTTTTTAATTACAAAAAAAATGATATATATTTTGAATCAATCATATCAATTTTTAAATGTTTTGAGTGTTTCTAACAATAATCATATTTTAAGCACACAACAAAATATATTTTGTTTTAAATTAAAGCATAAACAAAAGAAAATAAAAACAAAAATTAGAAAATAAAAAGTAAAAGCAAGCTAAATAAGGAAGATTTACATATATCCATATCACTCAATTCCTATGTATTTGCATATCTAATACCTAAACTTCAAGATTTACAATTATTCCTCTTTCCTTCTGTAATTAGCATCATCTCCAAAACCAGATTGCCATAACTAAATACTCACAAATGATAGAATGATTTCTTTTAATATTTACTATTACAATATATCCTCATTATTGAAGAGATTCTCATTATATTTTGCATTATTATTTGTCTATCAAACTAAATAAGTATATTTTTCCCTGTACTAGTTCCACAGCAGAGTAAAAATATAATCTTTCACGTGCACATCACCACTTTACAGCAATAATCTCACAATAGTTGCATGATTATATGACCATTATAAACAAAGAGAGTAGGAAAAAGTCAAAAAGGAACCTCTACTGAAAAGGAGCAGAGGACACGGCGACATAATTCACCATGCAGAGTTCAAGCCATCCCATATCAAGGTAAATAAACCCAAAGAAAAAATGTAGGCGAAGGCCTGAAAGTGAGAAGAACTCAGAGGAGGCCTGAAAGTGAGAAAGAAGAACCTCATTTTAAGCAGGAAAAAAAGGGTATATTTTAGAACATGAAGTTTGCTGCTGAAGCTGAAATTGTGGAAGTTTTGAGGGAGGTAAGATATGACAGTGCAAAACCAGAAAAGAGCACACAGTAGACAAATATTTGACATGTTTAACCTTTCTCCCACTTTCAAGTTAAAAATGAAGTTTAATAATATGAATAGGAACTACCTACTTTAACATATAAAATATCAGGTGGTTTTCCAAGAAAATCGGTTACAATAGACAAAAAGAATAAATTCTTAATCTCGACCACCTGTTAAAGAGCGTTCTGTGCCCTTCTGAATTTGCTAAGAACTTAGTGTGATGAGCTTCATCAGTCACAACCAGGAACTTCATCAGTCTCAACCAGGAGTCAGAGAAGAGGTGGACCTGTTCAAGAGCTTTTGTTGGTTCTGTTGATGTTGCTTGTCTGCTTGGCGTTTCCGAGCTTTATCTTTTAGTTCTTGAAAAGCTCGCATTGTTTCCATATCAAACCCTCCAGCAAACTGGAGGTAGAAAAGAAGTGAATAGCTTACATTAATTTTAAATGAAGAAGCGAAGCTCGATTATAATTTTGTGAAAATGAGTTCATTGTCTTTAAGAATCATGTTGTATCGTTTAGGAAATGTCTTAAAGCCTGAAATATTATCTCTCTCTCTCTCTCTCTCATTTTATTTCATTTTATTCTAAACTACAACTACAAAGGACAAAGGTCGATAAATAGTACCTGATGTACTCGAAAGGCAAACCTAACACCCTGTAGCATAAGATCCTCTTCTTCAGGGCCACCAGCTATTTCTGAAATCTCGGATGTCACTCTCTTCATGTATTTCATTGCCAATTTCACTGATGCTAGCTTGATCTACAAAAAATATCCAAAATTTAGTACTGAAAAATAGTCTTTATAGTTTTGGGGGAAACAAACCAATGATAGAGAAAGATTTTGCTAAGAATCCTGTAAAGTGTTTTGTGGAGATTTTTAGCATCTTTTTATTTGCAGCAGTCAATGGTACTTGTGAACGTCTTCATAACCAAGACATTGATTATTGATGAGGAAAATAAGAAATAAAAAAAACTCTAGAAGTTGTATGTACAGGCAAACAGAAAAAATAATAAACTTCATCATTTCATGCCTCACAGACTCTTAGCATCTTTTTATTTGCAGCAGTCAATGGTTCTTGTGAACTTCATAGCCAGAACATTGATTATTGATGAGGAAAATAAGAAATAAAAACAAGCTGCTAGAAGTTGTATGTATAGGTAAACAAAAAATAAATAAATAAACTTCATCATTTCATGCCTCACAGACTCTTTGATGGTCGGGGTTGATAAGATAGATATACCTCATTTCATTCATTCGTAACTTGACCTAATGCTCCCCCAATAGAGAATTCATAATAGTAAAAGATTAACTATCAAGTACTAAATGCCATTACTTTCCTCATCTATCGGTACGGACTGCTGTTCATCTGATTATGAATTAATTGGCTCGAAACCGGATCGTTCATATCCCTAGATGACGACAAAAGCTTGTCCTAATGATAAGGAACCATTACCCTTGAGAAGATCTACCTCATTTCATTCACTCATAGCTTCTCCTAATACTTTCCCAATAGAGAAATCAAAATATTAAAAGATTAACTATCAAGTACTAAATACCATTACTTTTCTCATCTTTCGGTACGGACAGTCGTTCATCTAATTATGCATTGATTGGCCCGAAATCTGATCGTTCATAGCCCTAAATGGCGACAAGAGCTTGTCAACATGATAAGGAGATCAACCTCATTTCATTCATTCGTAGCTTAATCAATTTGAGCTAATTTAGGATTATTGATTTTTTCCTCTAAATTTTGTTGAAGGAGATAGTAATGTAATCAATGGAATAGGTAAAGGTCATACCCAAGATGTAATTGAATGAAATGAGGTAGATTTCCTTACCATTACTTCACTCATCTCTTACCATTACTTCCCTCATCTATCGATACGAAAATATAAAATTGAAAATGCCAGCAACCCTAAAAATTTGAAAAGCAACCATTACTTTTGAGAAGGAGATCTACCTCATTTCATTCATTCGTAGCTTGTCCTAATGCTCCCCTAATAGAGTATTCATAATATTAAAAGCTTAACTATCAAGTACTAAATACCATTTCTTTCATCATATATCAGTATGAATTGCCCATTCATCAGATTATGAATTGATCGGCCCAAGATGTAATTGAATGAAATGAGGTAGATTTCCTTACCATTACTTCCCTCATCTATCGATACGAAAATATAAAATTGAAAATGCCAGCAACCCTAAAAATTTGAAAAGCAACCATTACTTTTGAGAAGGAGATCTACCTCATTTCATTCATTCGTAGCTTGTCCTAATGCTCCCTTAATAGCGTATTCATAATATTAAAAGATTAACTATCAAGTACTAAATACCATTTCTTTCCTCATATATCGGTATGAACTGCCCATTCATCTGATTATGAATTGATCGGCCCAAAATCGGATGGTTTATGGCCCTAGATGGCGACAAGAGCTTTGTATAGAAGAAGCAACGTCAGGGGGTTTAAGCCTAGGCAACATATTTCTAAACATCAACACCATTGATATGAAACATAGGAAGTGTGATTCGAGGATATAAACGACTGCAAATATTTGTAGGGAATAAACAAAAGAAACCAAAACGACGGTAGAATTAGGATTATAAAATTATAAAGACACATTACCTACTAAGTACTTGATACCAGCAACTTATCTATGAACTAGAAAGACCATTATAGTGCAATTCCAAACAGTCCATTGCAATCATTAACCTTATCACTACCAACCCATCAAATCAACTTTGACTTTAAGGTTAAAGAATAGAAACAAGACTAAAAGACACTTGTAGAATTGGATGAGAACATGAATTTGAAAGCTAATCGGTATGAATAGGAGAAAATCTTGAAATTGGAGAATGACGGCTTTGTGCAAAATAGTGGTGAGATCTAGCGATGGGTAGTAAAATTTTGAAATGAGGATTTAAGAGGGGTATAGAAGTAGATTTGTATCTAGAATTTATTCATGGATTTTGGGTTGGATATGGATTTCAAATCTAGTTTATCATGGATGTTTGCAAAGAGAGGTTAGAGATAAAGATTTGCTTATTGTCATTTATTTTATTTTTGGGTGAGATCTAGAAGAGGCAAGATAGTGTGTGTGTGTGCGCGCGCGCGCGTGTGGAAAACAAGACAAGCAGAGATTGTTGCTATCAAGGATGGCCACAAGAGTTGTGCATAGAAGAAGCAATGTAAGTGGGATTAGTTTAGGGATGCACCCAACATATTTCTCAACATCAGCGCCATTGATATGAACCCATAGTAGGGATTGTGATTCGAGGATGCTAACAACTCCGAAAATTAGTAAAAAAAAAAAAAAAAGGGAACCAAAACCTCAAAGAGGGGAGAATAGCCTCATTCTATTCATTCATTGCTTGCCCTAATACTTAAATTGGAGACTATTTATAAAATTATAATAATTCATTGACTATTAAGCCACTTAATACCGACAACTTATTTATGAACTAATAAGACCCTAATAAACTACTAGCTCAATTCCAAACTAACCATTACAATGACATATCTTATTATTGCCACCCAACATATCAAATTTGTCTTAAATGTCAAAGAATAGAAACAACACAAAAAAGAGTAGAATTAGATGACAACATGAATTTGGAAGTTAGTCAGTAAAAGACAAGAATCTTGATATGGGAGACCGACAACTTTGTGCATAACGGTGCTGAGATCTAGGAATGGGTGTAGGATTTAGAGATGGGATTTAACAAGTGCACAAAAGGAAATCTGTATCTTGAACTTAGAGTCTACATGGAGATTTGCAATTGTTCTTTGATTGCGACCATTTTAAACTTGATTCATGGATAAACTTAACATGGGGCCTGAATCTTGTAACTCCAACCTTTAAGACATGGAGAATAAAACTCAATGTAGGAATTACAACCGTATTCAATAGGTAGGATGTCCTGCTCGAGAGTATACATTCTAAATGTTGACGAATCTGATTTTTAAATTTAAAAAAGCTTTACAAATTTTCAAATGGTTACATATGGACAAGTTCTTGTTTCTTGAGGTTAGGCGAATTTGAATTTATTTCTTCTTGCCTGTTTAATGAACTAAATATTATGTAGTCATTAACATAATTGTCGAGCAAAAGCGTATAAGTATGTTTTGGCTTGGTGCGTAAAACATTATGATTTTTTTAGATGTAGAAACTAGTAGATTTATCAGAGCCGATATGCATTTATTTGTTAATGATATGATCTCTTCAAGGATACAAATCTCTTTAAGTACTTGCATAGCTTAGAATTCGTCAATATCCAATTATTCACACGAGTGCCTTATTGAAAAAATAATAGCATAGCTTTATTTTATAGTCAATATTCATCTTTTGTGGACTTGTATGCACTTTTTGGGAATCTGATAGTAAAGTTTAGAAGTAAAAATCCATTTCAAGTTTTTCTTAAAGAGACGTGCTTTGCTTGTATATGACATGTATTTTATTCAAACAAACCCAATAAAAGTTGTTCTTCCATCAACAAATAGGAACCCACCATCAATTATTCACACGAGTGCCTTATTGAAAAAACAATAGCATAGCTTTATTTTATAGTTAACATTCATCTTTTGTGAACTTTTATGCACTTTTTGGGAATCTGATAGTAAAGTTTAGAAGTTAAAATCAATTTCAATTTTTTCTTAAAGAGAAGTGTTTTGCTTGTATATGACATGTATTTTATTCAAACAAACCCAATAAAAGTTGTTCTTCCATCAACAAATAGGAACCCACCATAAAATTTTCATTTTAATTTCAATTCACTAAGTGTATTTTGGAAGGTTCTAATTATTCAAGGGAGTAATTGTGCAATCAAGAAATTTTGTTCTCGTAGGCCCATCAAAGATAATTTTGTTCTCGTAGACGCTAATCCAAGAAATTTTATTCTCGTAGATTTTGGAAGGTTCTAATTATTCAAGGGAGTAATTGTGCAATCAAGAAATTTTGTTCTCGTAGGCCCATCCAAGATAATTTTGTTCTCGTAGATGCTCATCCAAGAAATTTTTTTCTCGTAGGCGCCCATCCAACATAATCTTGTTCTCGTAGACGCCCATCCAAGATCATTTTATTCTCGTAGACACCCATCCAAAATAATTTTTATTTTAAGTTCAATTTAATGCATTCTTGGGATTTCTGAGAATTCAAGGGAATTACAAGTGCAGCCAAGAAGTTTTGCGCTCATATGTGTCATCCAATTCATGAAAAGTCATTTATAAATTTTTTATTTTATAAGGAGTTCTAATCCTTATAAATTCTTTAAACACTTGTTTATTAGTTTGAGCATTCACTAATGTCAATTGCACTTTAGTTGTGTAATTTTTTTTTATGTTATTGATGTTATTTAGTTCAAATACTCACTTAAACATGTTCTGCTACAAATCCTATCAAAAAATTTTTAGACAACCTCCTAATGTCTCCTCAAAGTAGAATTATCTATGACAAAGATATGTTTATAACTTTTAATGTACTACCAGCACAAAGATTTTACAAACAAAAATTCCCTGTTAAATCAAGAAAGATGCATATGGAGGAACTCTTTCTTGGAAGTCTCAGGTCTTCTTCTCCCACAGCCTCAAAGAAAGGCATGTATGATTTTTCTCCCCACCACATCAACCACATCAACAAAGACATGCATGGGTCACCGATACAAGTGATTTAAATCAAGGTGAAGGCACAGTATGAGAGAATTTTGAAGGCTAAAATGTGGGAATATGAAAAGTTTTTCAGCTTTCTTTTTTTTTATTTGAAATG